AGCCACCTTCAATGACCTCCCTCCTCACTATGCCAACATGCCACCCAGGCAGTATCATGTTTCATGTTTGATATCCAGTATCACAGTGTAATCTGTAGGACAACCAGGTCGTTCAGCATCTGGCTGTGTGTTTAGCTGATGATGGCGATGTGTGTGTGTGTGTGTGTGTGTGGTTTCTCGGAAACACGTGCCGTCTCAGTCAACGTGTCTCAACAAACATTCCAGGCAAATGTCACATGAACTGAGAGTCCAGGGCCAACAGGAACTGGGACAGCCTGTGGGTGTCTTTAAGATGATCAAAGGTTTTAATAGTCCTGAAGTCTCCACCGACTGCCTTTTAAAGGACTGCTCTTCTTTTCTGAACTTGTATGAGCTACTTGTATCCCTGCTGTTCTGATGCTCCAGGGATACAGTGGGTCTTAAGTTAAATGGCTCAATGATGGGAATAGCAAAAAAAAAAAAAGAGAATGAAGAAAAGATGAATTGCAGATTTTTCCGGCTCAGTAATGCTTTGTGCCGACAAACAGATGCTTAGTCTGAAACCATGTTCTGATCTCTGAAAGTAATTTAGTAACTGCGGCTCATTACAAGATGCAGGTTATCTGTGGATTCACATGCTTGTTCATGAAACATGTGTCCAGGCTTATCTCTCACTTTCCCCTCTCAAACACGGAGTAGCATTCGCTTGTTTAGAAACCTGGTTGAAACTGTGGATGTAAATTTAAAAATAAGTCAAAGAGGGGCAAAGTATAAGAGAATGAAAGTGAAACTTAACTGAAACTGACTTTATCTGGTCTTCATTTCTTTGTGGTTGCTTTCTAAATTAAAAATACCAGCAGATAACACGTTTGATACTGACGTGACTCACTGAAGATGATGCTGATGCTTTCCCACAAAGGCAGAAGGAGATGAGGCCTTGTCAAATGTGTCTTCAAGTCAGCAAAATGCTGACTTGACCTATCCCAACTTCAGTGATTTCAGACACATTTATCTATATTTAACCAAAACCACAAAGCTTTTGTTGTCTAGACCCAAACACGGACAGGACTCCATGAAATGGTGATGCATTATAGCTCATGGGTATTAGGACTGTACTTGTGGCTAAATGTGGGCTTGAATTACTTCTTGGGTCAAGAACACAAGTTCAGCAAAAATGCAGATTGAGAAAGATTTTATCAATAAAACTCCCTGAGTAATCATTTCATCCCGACTGGAGTTCATGTCGTTTTGGGGCATTTGCTAAAACAACTGATTCTGTAGTTCCTCTCGGGACAAGTCTCATCGCAGGACTCTTTAAAAACCAGTCTCAAATTTCCTGTCAGCTTCAGCTGTGCCTTGAGGTAAATGCTACAATGACATGACAACATGTTAGCGTGTCCACTCTTTTGTTTTTTTTTGTTTTTTGCTGGAATCATAACAAAAACATTATATTTCTGCCTAAACCCTGTTGTGACCGTGACGCTCAAAAAACAAACAAAACAAAAGGCATAAAGTGAAAATACGTAGCATGTTAAAGGGAACCTCCACTCTTGCCAAAAGCTAAAAAGCTATCTCGTCGTAGCAGCTGTCAAGGTTAGGCAGTTTGTCCCTTCATCAGCTCCCGGGGGGGGGGGTCTGTCCCTGAATATTCCAATCCGTAAGGCCTCCGTCCAATAGATAATCACAATACTGAATCAATTATACTGCGATGTGTAACATTTCTGCAGCTGGATTTATTGTAAGTCTCTGTGGATCAGATTTAAACAACCAACACAATGTAAGATTGCGTAATAATGTGGGTGTTTTTTCTCCAGACAGCTCAGAGGCATGTGTTGTGAAACAGACAGCCTTGACTGAGTCCAGTGTTTGTAGTGATGGTCTGTCTGTATTGAGCCTGTGGGGGAAAAAGAGCGCTGCCTCCAAGAAAATGTCCTGTTGTGTTTGCTTCCACATTAAGACAATCTAAGTGTGTCGCAGTAAACATACCGTCCGACCCCGTGGCTTTTTCCTCACGTCTTGACTGTACAGACTGACGTGCAAAGTACTGACGTGCAATTTTGTTTTAACCCCTTCATTAAGCAATTAACCAAATAACACTTTGATTCCTTATAAAACCAAAGCCTGACTGTTGAACACCAACATCCAAGAGAAGTTGGATCGAGGGCAGCTGGACTTGTTTGACCACCAAGTCATCAAAACTGACAGATTATGAGAATATGGGCCCAGCTTCCCCTCCCATATAGGACCCCCAGACTGAAAGGACAACAAAACAACTACAAATGACACAACTTGTTGAGAGTCGTTTGGTGTGTCTTTGGTCGTTTTTCATCTCTTTGTGGTTGTTTTGTGTCTCTATGGCAATTTTGTGTCTCTTTGTAGTTGTTTTTCGTCTCTTTGTAGTCATTTTTTGTCTCTGTGGTCATTTTGTGCCTCTTCATAGTCATTTTCTGCGTCTCTGTGGCGTTTTTCCATCTCTTTGTAGTTGACTGTGGTTGTTTTTGTCTCTTTCTGGTCATTTTGAAGCTGAAGTTATTTTTCTTTGTATCCTTTGAAATTTTCAGCACATCATAAGAGCTGAGACCACAGAGGCTCAACATTTTACAGATGTCCTCTCCTTCATACAAGTCCCACACAGTTCCACTCATTCAGTCAACTGGTTAAATTTCTGTATGAGTAACTGATACTACAGTTTGAATTTGAAATGTGGCCACAACGTGACGGAAAACCACAGAAGAATGAAAACAAGTCAGTCGTACAAAGCTGTGGACAAATGAATTTTCTGGTAAAGAAATTACCTTTTGAATGTACTGTGATCCTTCATCACTGGTTACATATGTTCAACCAGTACCAACCTGAAGAAGTAATACACTACAACAAAATTAGAAAGATTAAGCGGGAAATAAATATATTTCTTTCTGCTTTCTTATCCTGTTAATTGTGATTTAGGTAATATGAGCTGACATGACACCCTTACACACTTAGTCCTGCTTTCAACACTTGGGGCGTTTTTTTTTTGGACAAACTTATTGAAACATCTGTCATAGGAGGAGTTCCCGATGTGACACCACATCTGTACTTCCCTCTCCTCTAACGTCCACTTCTCTGCACCAGGTCAACCCCACAAGCAGCGGTTAGATCAGATACTGTTTCCACACAATTTGCACTTAGAGAGAAATTATGTAAATCCTGACAGGAAATATCTCACTTAGCATTTACACAGAATCTGGGCAGGGTTCGTCTCGGGCCATTTGGTTAATAAATACAGAACTTAGTTTCTGTACAAGGAAGTCGTAATATCCATCCCACTGACACTTGAGTGAGGACGATTTACTGTCAGAGGCTGGCACTTCCAAGCATATGCAGAGACATGAAAAGGACACCCTTTCCCCTCTATTGATAGCCCATGTCTCCTTGAGCAAGGCATCAAGAGCTAAATGAAACAAGCTGCAGGGAAATCTCCCCCACTTTTGCCGCAACTTCTGCTTTTACTTCCTTTGTGTGTATGTGTGTTCATGAAAATGGGCTGAATTTCCCTGTCTTTTTTATGCATGGCAGCTTTTCATATATCTGCATATTGTCCTGCATTAATAATATATGAAGCATGGGAGAAAGAAAGAAGGATGACTGACATCCTCTGTGTGCAGTCGATGTGCATTGACTTGTTGAACGCAGCCTTATTTTTAATTCTGTTTTTTTTATGGTATTATTTAAATAGTTCTTTAATCTAAGGCTAGGTCAGTTGCTTGGGCAACCACTTTACTCCAACTATTTGATGAAGTCATGTTGTGAAGTTAGTTACAAACATTCATGGGCTCCTGAGGACGAGTCCTAGCGCCACAAGCATGTCAACATTTTTATTAATCCAAGCTCCAATTAGAAAATGTTAGCATGCTATGCTACACTAAGAGGGTGAACATACAGTAGCCTATAAACATGGCACCTGCTAAACATCAGCATGTTAGCATTGTCACCATGAGCATTTTAGCATGCAGACATAGAATCTGGCTTAGCATTTAGCGCTTGGCCTATGTATAACCCCACAGGCTCATTTAAATTTAGTCTCAGCTCAAGTTAAAATTAGAATGAATGAGTTGAACCTTGAAGCCTCCTGGGTAGTAGTACAGGCCTCTACATTATCCTTTTTTTTGGACACAATATGTTGGAAATTTAAAAAAACTACAATGTGAAGTCTCGGGCTTTATTGTTATCATTGACATTTTCATTGTTGTCTGTGATCCTGACCCTTTTGATATATTAAAATAATTTAATTTACACTACTTGGACTCTTAAACGGGGGAAAAAAATGATCATGTGAGGACCATCATGGTGAAAACACCAGCTGGTTAAGTTCTCATTTGGTAATATTTACCTTTAAAAACAGACTTTGTATTTTTTTTTTTTAAATGTCCTCCAGGTTCTCATTCTCAGTGTTTCAGTTTGTGTGTATTTTATCCTAGAGGCAGCACATGATGAGTGAACTTCTGCACGATACTCATTGTTCACAAAGTTCAGTGACAGGTGTGTTTGTACCTTCAACTACTGTCCTTGCTAATTGACTGCTTACATTGTGTACATTATAATGTGTGTGTGTGTGTGTCTCTGTCTGTCTGTCTGCCCTTGTTGAACAGTGATGTCAAACGGAGAAGTCCATTCATGATGAGGTTTCCCCTGGTGCAGCCGAGAAGGAAGGACTGGTGAGGTGGGTGTGACCAAAACTACGAAAAATGTATCACAGTGCAAGTCCCGTAGCCATATCAGTATGAATGGTGGAGCTGCAGAGGACAGCTCTGGTGCAGCAGCGAAGAAAGTTAGTGAGGAGAAACACACACAGAGAGAGAAAGAGAGAGAGAGAGAGGAAGCGCGCATCATGGCTCGCTGTGTTCAGGATGACTTTTAATCCGCAGAGCAAAAGTTTGAAAGTGAAAGAAAGCCATTGGTGCAGATGCACGCCTCGCAATTGTTGCCTGAGTAAAAAAAAAAAAAAAGAAAAAGAAAAAAAAGAAGAACAGAAGACGTGTAAAGTGTGCGCCTGCCTGCCTGCCACTGACGCCGGGGGTAAGTTCATTTTTTATTTTATGAATTAAACGTATCAAACTCTCGAGAAGTTCTCCACCTCACAGCTGTGCTCCCTTCAAGGTCCAAATGAGGAAGCAGGTCTGATAAAACTCTGCAGGTTGAATTTCATCACATCGCACTGGCATTTCAAAACTTTTTTTTTTTAGTACAGACCTAGAAGCGCCAGAAGTGTTCACTGTCTTAAAGAGTTCAGAAGTTTGAGGGCCGTGCTGCTTCACTCATGCGTAATGGGCGGTTTGTGCAATGATAAAAAGGAAGTGTGCGGTGTCAGACAGAGATAGTAACCCGGCCTTCCTCTTCCTTTTGTATTTTTTCAAAAAAGTTATTGAATGACTTGACCTGAAACGTTTTTTGTTTTTTTTACTTGGTGGCACATTGTCATCATTTTCCCTCTTGTGCTGTAGCCATGAATGCACAAACAGAGGAGCTGCACCCGGTTTTTATCACCATCATCCCGCAGAAAATCTTCCTGTGACTCTATGTGAACCTCACTGATCTTTTTAAAGTCAGATTCTTATCAGCGTGTGAAGTTTGAGCGGTGAGCGTCACCTCCTGGAAAGAGTCTTACCAGAATGCAGTGGGCGTCACTTCAATAACTTTATTACAGGCGAAGTGCTGTAGCCATGGAAGTCACTGGGAGATGCTGCGTTCAGGTTCTGTCGGGAAACGAGGGGTTCAGAAACGTTTACGACAAAACAAACTGGCAAATGATAATTTGTAGTTGTTTAGGAAAAAAAACTGAACTGCTATGTACTGCATCATCTGAATAATCAATAATACTTTCATTTGAATGAATAATTCTTTCATTTGAGAGAAACTACATTTTGTGACTACTGAAATCTACAGTGAAACGTTAAACATAGGTTTAAATGTTGATAAGACATATTATGACTTTGCCTCATCATATTCAAAACAAACAATTTTTCCTCAAGGTTCATTTAGTAGTTTTTCTGGGGCTTTTGACTGCGTCAAACAATCAGCCTCTGGGTTTGTGTCATTGACCTGGAAATGTTTTAATTTCAATATTTCTGTTCATTCTAGACATTGAAAATAGTTCCACAAAAAAAAAAAACTAGCCATGTTCCACATTCCAGGTTCTTCCTTAGTCTGTGTTCATTAGCTGACAATGACGACTAAGAAAACTATTATCTGCTGATGAAGACTGTGAGGTGGGGTTGTTACTATCCACAACTTTTGCCCAGTGGAAAACACAAAAAGTTTAGTAGTTGAATCAAGTTGAGCCAGTACCATGCTGTAGAAAAGGGCTAAATCAAATCTGCTGACGAGAACCTTGATGTATGGCTGAAAGCTCAGAGAAAAACCCAGTAAGTGGACCTTGAGTTTTTTTTTTTTTGGTTTTTTTTTTCTCGTTAAAGTATTTTAATTTTTAATTTCCTGTTGGGTTCTTGGGTTGTTTGTGCTCTCTTTTGTTTGTCCATTGTACATGATTGGTTTCTCATGACATAATTAATCAGTTGGCTATGATTTCATTTCAACTCACCACCACATTGAACAGAATGTTCCCCTCATTTTTCTTCTTATAAAGACACGACAAACTGTAAAGCCACAACTTTTCTCTTAATTTAATTTTCTAAGAAATGTCGTTGTTACGTTTCCTCCAATGAGGAACTTAAAGATTTGAAGAAGTAGTTGAAGATATTGTCTCTGTGTTTTCTATTAACTCTTTTTTTGTCAGTTTTGCTGATCATCATGTCACCACCACATTTCTCCACTATTTGGACTCATTAAAAGTAAAGACATAGATGTACTCAGTGATGTGTGTGTGTGTGTGTGTGTGTGTGTGTGTGTGTGTGTGTGTTTCATAATGAGTGACATGGGGTTTCCCTGTCCCTCTTTCCTCCATTCATGTGGCTGGAGACTGAGAAGCATAGACATGTTAACCCGGATATGAGCTGAATATTGAGTGAGTGTGTTTGAGGGAAAGGAAGGAAGAGAGACCAAGTGTGTGTGTGTGTGTGTGTGTGTGTGTGTCTCTGTGAGAGAGAGATAGAGAGAGCGAGACTATTGGGAGTGTGTTTGCATGTTTTATCTATACAACCTTTATTTAAGGAGGTTTATTCTTTGAGATCATGTATTGTTTTTCCCTGTGTGTGTGTGTGTGTGTGTCTGTGTGTGTGTGTGTGTCTGTGTGTGTGTGTGTTATAAAAACAGCAGCTCATTTCCTCATTCTGCTTCCTAGTGACCTCAGTTGCACGAGCTTCCTCTTGTCACTTGCACCATTTTGCATCCCCAGCAACTAAATATGATGATTAGCAGGAAGAAGTGAAACACACACATAGCATAACTGATATCATATCATATATTTCTGGTACTGTAGCAAGATGACAGATTACATGTAAAATACTTGTAAATTTTAAAGACACGTTTCAGCCTTGTCTAGCCAACTATGATTCATGCGGAGCTATTTCAGCTGTAGCACGTAGCACAAAGCAAGTTATCCTGTGACTCACGTTGACATCCCGTCAAAAGCGGGAAAGGGTATTTTGGTCTGTACTTCAATACTAAAATTATAATCCTATATTTAAAATGATCAACCTTTTTTGTTGAGCTTGTGAAATGCCACTAGGGGGCAGTGTTACTCCAAAACTGCGTGTAACCTAAGCTAAGTTTTTAAATCCACAAGCAACTGGAAACGTAATCACAAAGGGAGGCATTGATTAGTGATCCAGATGCTAATAAACCTTTTTTTTTTTTTATACGTATTTTACGTAATTAGACCTTTCCTCAAGTGTGTGTATGTAGGAGTTTACAGAGTGCAGACATATTGACTTGAAAAGCACGAGTGTTACCAATAACATCAATGGTGGCTCAGTTTCAAGCTTGAAGTGTCCCAGTAACAAACGACAGTGAGCCAGCGTGAACAATACCAGGACACTGAAAGCAAAGTGGCTAAATGGATCATTGTTATTTACGTCCGTGCTTTTCTTACTGTAACATGTCGAAATGTCCTCTGTGAAAATGGTCGTCTGTTGTTGCGCTTGAGAGTAGTGTTGAAGAACGCTCCCCTCACTCCCATAAAGATGTAGTAATTTGTGTGATATTGTACAATGAAACTCTAATATCCAAAGTCCCTACATATCCATGGAACACCAGCCCCAGGTGTTTTCTGTTTCTGTCTTTTTGGCTTGTGTATCTTTGCTAAATTGAAATAAAAGTTTCAGTCATTGCAGCTGTGGCTTTGTCTGCAGTATGAAGCCATAAGCTGTAAGCCTGTAGTAATTCCTTTACAGCGGTGCAGTCACATCTTTGTTGTAACCATGACCACAGTAAAGAACGCCGTCTCCAGTATCGCCGTGATATTCAGCTGTTTGTCTCGTGAGTTGTGTCGCTGAGCATGGAAATGAAGTCAACGCAGGAACTGGCTTGTTGTAGGCTGCTCTGTGTGCTGTGCCTTCGTACAGACAAATTAGAGGAAATGTACACGAGAGGTGTTGCCATGGAGACGCAGGCAGAAGCAGAGAAAGTTGAGTGTCATAGGTGTGAGATGGGTGAGAGCCAAGCTAGAGCGAGATTAAGTTTAGTTAATCACTTCATGCGAGAGAGTAAAATACGGCAACAAGAACCCGATTAGACCGAAAGGATCTACATAGTTTGAACTTGATGAAATTCAAATGCAAAGTTGGAAAGGAGACTAGAAAGTGATTTAAAAAAGGGAAGAGAAGAGTTTGTCACTGTTCAAATCAGTATCAATACAGAAAATGGAAGCGGAACCAAACTAGAGATACTGTCTCTGGAGCTCGGTATTCTCTTACAGCGACTTACAAATGTCTGCTGAAGGATTTCTGAACCTTATTATGCATTTTTTTTAGTGACACAAGGAACTTGGTTACAAGCGATTAAACATTAACATGCATTAACTATTTTTAGCCACGTCGATGCAACAGAAACAAGCCGTAAATACAACAACATTAACTTTGATGGTACAAACTTGTTATATCGGGCTCTTCAGTCGGTTACAGTTGGTATATAAAAGTTTTTTTTTGCCCAAAGCAGCTGCCTGTTGTGGCTGGAAAAGACAATATAAGAGCAGTGACAATAAAACAAAACATTAAAGTCACAGAAAACCAAAACAATGACCTCAAAGACGCTAAAATGCTCTGTAGAGCTGAGGGGGACTAGAAAGGTAGATAATCCTCCGTGGGTTTGGGTGACATACATGTAGTCATTTGATGCAATGTGAGTATGAGAATTGATTATAGCAGCTTTTAGTTACCCGTTACTCCCAGGACACCTGAGCTCGCAGCTACCACCCACGAAAGAAGCTTCAAGCTTTCACCTGTTGCTGGCTCACACTGTACTACAGTAGACGTGTTGCTTCACTTTCCCGAGCACACAGTCAGCAGATGTCTTTTAAGGCTACTTGTGCTCTCCGTGCTGCAGAGAGAGATGTAAACCACAGATAGCTCATTCAAATGAAAGTAAACCCTGTGTCTATTTGTGCAGCGACGAAAACAAATGAGTAGGCAGCTTTTACACCACACACACACGAACAGTACTGAAATTAGCTCGAGTCATCTCAATGTCACATTTGTAATCCTTATGGGCTCCAACTCAGCCTGAATCATGGCATCTGATTGGTCACCACGCAGGGATGTTGCAGTATAGACTTTAAAGCCAGCTCATATAGCGCAGATGTGAGCTAGTGTGATTGAAACATTACTCTTGTTGTCTATGGGAAGCTCTTAACCTGAAATATCAATATCATTCAAAAACCTTGCAGCTGCACCTCCATTTTCATGCTCTCACTTCAGTTGAACGAGTACCTTGTTCCTCTGTGTGTTCCTCCTCTTTTAGCACCTTTGGTTTTGTGAAACCTTTTCAGACCTGCCGTGGATTAAGGTACAGATGCAAAGTGGTTTTTCTTGACACTTTTCAACACCGGATTTTCCCTCAGACGCCACTACGTGTCGTTTCCAGCAGTAGTAGTTTCAGCAGAGTTTTTGGGGTCTCTTTTTTTC